AAACTCCTCAAAGTTCCTCTGAATCTCTTTCTTTCTTTACAACACACAGAATTCCTCTTCGAAGCGGCAAGGAGGAAGAAATCTCTCACTTTCCCTCCACTCTTAAAATCTCTTGAAGAATTCCTCACAATCTAACCCTAAAGTAAACTCTCTACACACTATTGTGGCTCTTGGACGTTGTTCTAATTTTCCAACTCCTTGAACTCTAGAGCCTTCCTCCTCCAATTTTTGACCAAAGTCTTCTTTTAAAGTTGTAGAAGAGTTTTCCCAAGAGTTGCCTAAGCATTCCTCCAAAAATTGTCCACATTCAATGCACCTTTGGAAATAACTGTCGATCTCGCCGTCGGCGGCCTCGAGGGCGCCGTCGGCGGGCCTTCTTAATTATTTGTCTGGAGTCTCGGGAAAATCTCGCCGTCAGCGCCGTTGGGCTCGTCGTCGACGCCTTAGTTCAAATCTTTACATTTTGGTCCTTTTCGCTCCAACTTCGCTTCTTTTTGCATCTTTTTGCTCCAATGACCATAATTCATCATACCTGCAATAAAATATCAAAAATATCTTTCTTTAAAGTGCAATATCATAAAAAAACAGTGAAAAATAGTTATGAAAATCTCAACATATATTCCTTTGGTCAGAATGACATAACCTGATAACAGTATAAACCCTTATCTGTTTGAAAAAAGGCGGCATCCTCATCCATTGGGTTTATCTTTATTTGATTGTACCCTGAGTATGCATCCATAAAGTTTAGCATCTGATGTCCAGACGTGACATCGACGAGTTGATCTATGCGCGGGTAGAGAAAATTATCTTTTTTGGCAAGATTTGTTGAGGTTTGTATAATCGACACATACTCATAAACCACTAGTTTTTATCATCATGACGATATTGGCCAGCCATACAAGATGATGTTCTTCCCGTATGAACTTTGCTTTGAGAAGTTTGTTGACTTCTTGTTCTATAGCTTGTGAGCGATCTATGACAAAATTGCGCTTCTTCTGGATGACCAATTTAAATGTCGAGTCTACCTTTAAAGAGTGCATGATTATTTCAGGGTCAACTCCAGAAATGTCGGTCGGGGTCCATGCAAAAATGTATCGATCCTCTGGAGGAGATCTACATATTCTGACCTTTGCTCATCGGAGAGTAAGTAACCAAGCTGTACTGTTCTCGATGGGTGTTCATTAGAAAGTTGGATGTGAACCAATTCTTCCACTGGAGAAGCTCGTTGAGATATACCTTCATCTAGAAGATCAAATTTTTCGATGCTAAGTGTCACTTATGGGTGTGGCTAAGCTTGCTTGAGGTAGCATGATTGTGCTATCTATTGATCTCCTCGCACGACGCCGACCCCTGTTGGAGTTAGAAACTCGAGCTTCAAGTGTAGCATAGAAGTCATGATGCCAAAGATGATTTGTAGGGGTCTCCCGAAGATGACATTGTATGCTGATTCTGACTTGACAACGATGAATTGGATTGAGCGAGTTATCTATCAAGGAAAATCTCTCATGAAAACAAGAAGATTTATTGTTCCATCGACTCTTACTGGTTGATTATCAAAATCTTATAGTGGCCTAGATGTAAGTTGGAGTCTTTTCCTTCTCAATCCCAAACTAAGGAAAGTGGAGTGGAACAAAACGTCAACATAGCTCTCATTGTCGATCAGGATCCTTACGTTGTAACAAGGTTCGCCAATTTCTGCGCTAATGACAAGAGGATTTTGGTGGGGTACTCGGACTCTTAAATCAGAATCATCAAAAGTGAGGTTCAAGGCGTAATTCCTTCTGTGCTGGTTCACCAGATGTAGTGATAAGAAATTGATCAGTCAACAACGGACCTCCTGCAATCGTTTGAATTTTTCCCACAACTGGGTGACTTCCATGTTGCTGCCTTTGTGTTTGTTGCCCCCCAGTGAGAGCATTATTGCTACCAGTTAGTTTGTTTTGCATAAATCGATCGAGATATCCTTACTGAATCAACCTTTCAGTTTCTTCCTTCAGTTGTTTACGCGCTTCAGTGGTGTGTTCACGATTTCGATGAAAATGACAATATTATTCTTGATTTCCTGAGTTAGATTTTAGGAGGTGAGTCCACTTAACAATTTGCTCATCTTTTATGGCCATCAAGATGTTGGTACGTGACATGTTGAGCGGCGTATACTCTTTTTTGGGTTGATATTCAGTTTGTTGGCCCGTAGGTTGAGAAAGGAGGTCACGATCCCTCTGTTGTTCGGACTTTCTCCGTTGCGAAGATTGATTATTATTTATAGTGTTATCCTTGCGCTTTCTCCCAAATTTTTCAAACTGCTCTTTATATGTCCTGATGGCCTCGTTCTCAGTGATTTGGGTCTCAACACGGTGGACAATATCAGCATAAGAACGAACTGTCACTCGCATTAGTGATGAGTAAAAAGGTCCTGGGCAGAGCCCCCAAAGGAAGACTACCCTTAGTAACTTCATATACACTCATGGAATATGACAGACTTCAGTAGAAAATCTGTGGAAGTAGTCCTTGAGCGACTCTCCTTCACTTTGACGAATTCCCGAGAGATGGGATGAATCTTTGACGATCCTTCGATTTGCGATGAACTGCTCCACGAACAGTCTGACAACCTCGTTAAAGGTGTTTACAATGACCCTTGGCAGAGTGTAGAACCAGATTCGAGCTTGTCCTTTAAGAGTAACCGGGAATACTTGACACAGAAGCACATCAGAGGCACGTTGAATGTGCATGATGGTTCGATAATGATAAATATGTTCGTAGGGGTCGGTTATCCCTTCATATGTATCGATGTTTGGAAGTTTGAAGAATGTTAGAATGGGGTGTTGGAGGACCTTATCCGCTAAGGGAGAGGATTCATGGATGTTACGGTGAGTGTAGAAGCGATCATTTTTCTCTAAGGGGAACTCTTGCCGAACGAGGCGTCGTAGTTTATTACAAATGACATCATCTGGAATGCCAAGAAGATGTGGCGATGTCAGGTGAACTGCTCGAAATTGATGAGTGAAACTTGCGGTATCTAGGAGTTCAACATCACTACCTGACAGAGAAAGTGTTCTTTCTTGAGGAGGGGGGCCAGTGCTAGTTCTTCCGAGCAATATGTTTCTCGTAAGTCGCGGAGTTAATGATATACAAATTTCGTTCAATGGTGTAGGCAGCGGTTGTTCATCCCCACGTAGGAGCTGTAGGATCTCTAGTTGAGATTCCTCCATTCTGCGCATTCAATCTTTTATAGAAGTACTCGAAACGTCTTCGTTGGCGGGATAACGTCTTCAAGGGCGGGAAGATGAAAAAGCATGCTCCCCTTGGCTTCGTGACTGCTCCCTGAAACGTTGGGTGTTTGAGCGGGATGCTCCGTTGTCACGAATATTGTGTCATGTGGCCATGTATTAAACCGCGTAAGTACTTCAATTGTGGGATTGAAACTTTCCCACGGACACAGACGACGCTAAACTGATGCGGGTTAGAAAATTCGTGGCGGTAGAGTAACAAATTATCGGCTTGGCGTTGCACGAGGATTCAACACACACTCAAATGAAAGGGAAACAACTTGTGATGACACTATAAATTTTTATGTGAAAAATCTGTAAAGGGAAAAACCACGGGGTCTGCCCAGTTATAAAAATCCATTGTAGGTTGATTATTACAGAGACCCCTTCTCCCACAAACGGGAAAAGAGTTACTAGATTTTCCAAGTTGCAACGTCGACTGACGACGTCTGGTCAGTGGTGATCGGCGGTGGTCAATGACATTCGATGACGGTCGGTAACGACAGTCGATGACGGTCGGTGATGTGTGATTGACGGAGGTCAGCGGTGGTCGACGGAGGTCAGCGGTGGTCGCCGACGGTCAGCGGTGTCAGGGATGATGTTGGACTTGAGCTCCTTCTCAAAGCCTTAAGTTCTCTCTCCAGCCTCCTCTTTCATGTGAGGGGTGAGTCTCTATTTATAGTGTTATGAGTGCAATTAATGCATGAATATGAACTATTTTGATCGGATGATTCTGAGAGCTTCCCTCGACCAAATGACATTTGATATGAACATTTGAGTGTCTTAACGATGTCAGAATTGACCAATCTTAGGCTCATTAGATTCGTCTTATCGAGATGCTCGATTCGACTATGAACTCGCTAGATTGGACATCCGTTTGACCTTCCAAATGTGTCCGAAAATTCTACAAGAGTGGTTTAATAATTTGATTTGAGCTTGATTTGACTCGGATTGGACTAATTTTTATATCATTGGGTCCGTCTCATCAAACCGGTCAGTTTGACTATAAGTTTACTGAAATCAGAGCTCTGGATGACTCTTAATTGAAGTTTGAATGTTTCTTGCTCAAAAGATTGTCTCGAGATTTGTGTCATGTTTTGAGATTCGTGAGGTATGATGAAAATTTGTTGGTGGCTTATCAAGATGCATTATTTTGATACTTACTCTCTTATTTTTAGACTTCGTATTTTTTTTAAGATCTGCTATCTATATCTATCAATGATGGCTAGAAATTACTTCAAATGGATGTTAGTATTATCTTCCGCTATGCTGACCTTGTTAAAATTTTTTATATGTAGCAATCTCTAGGTATGTTGCTAAGGTTTCGATCAAATTTGATATATTTAATAAGATCTTGTTGAGATTGGCCTTCACAATATCACACTCCCAAGGGTCTGTTAACTTGATTGAGTCTACTAACTTAGTAGCCTATGTTGATGTCTTTCTTTTTAAATGAAAGATTAAAAGGTAATACCTAATTCCCTTAAAAATGTTTTCTAACCAAAGATCAGAGTTTTCTAAATACCTTATGGGTGCTTAGTTTGGTTATAATAAAGTATTTCCTATCTCAACAAAATATATTGATAACCTCCAAGGGGAAACTGGTCTCTTTGGTTGTAAAAATATGGCTAGCGGAGAAGAATTATTTTAAGATGTTTTTTGTTATCACTGGTTAGTTGGTAAGTTAATCTGATTTATCGTACTCTATATTTTTTTTTGTCGTGGAATTGTTAGTCATCACATGTAAGCTTTCAAACACAAATCTTAAGAAATTTTTATTCTTCTCCTTGGATATATCAAGAGGTCCCCAGAAAAAAAGACTTAGTTACACTAAGCATGAAAATTGTTACTAATCTTCCTAGTTTTGAACAACTTCCTAGTAGTTTCACCAAATACTTGGGACAACTTTCAAAATAATGCTGCAGGCCATATTTAACTGATAATATCTTCTTTTAACATATATGGAAGATCCTTCTGCTGAATAAAGACTGAACTTTTTCTCTCAAAACCAATGAAAGATACTAAAATAATTGTTGTTTGTGATGTTCAATACAAGTTTCGTTACTGTGGGCAATTTGTCTAATCTACTACATCTGAGTCAGCTCGACTTAAACTTGGAAGAGAATATTGGTTAGGGAGATCAACTGTATGGATTTGTTTTGCTAAAAAAATTCTTTAATGTTTCATTCACTTTGAAAAACTTTTTGGGGCTTTTGAGAAACTGTTTTTTCTACTGCAATTTTTGGAGATTGATGTGAGATCTGCATGATATATGTGCTAATCATTTCTAATCTGAGCATATATACTGATTGCCACCCTATTTTTTTGGTCATTTTTACTTTCCAATGTAAGGTTTAAGCTGCTATACTTTATCTTTGTGATTATTATGTTAGGTATTTGAGTTGAGTTCAGCTCAGGGACCTGAGCATGGTTTACAGTTGTTCAAAAAGGTGCGGCACTTTCGAATCCTTGTTTGTGGTGGAGATGGAACTGTTGGTTGGGTGCTCGATGCTGTAGATAAGCAGAACTATGAATCTCCTCCACCTGTTGCAATTCTTCCTGCAGGCACTGGTAATGATCTTGCAAGAGTTTTATCATGGGGAGGTGGTCTTGGTGCTGTTGAGAGAATGGGGGGTTTGTGGTCTGTTTTAGAGCAGATTGAGCACGCAGCTGTCACTGTTCTCGATAGATGGGCAATAACCGTAGAGGATTTACATGAGAAACATATCCGACCTCCACGGTTTATGAACAACTATCTTGGTATTGGGTGTGATGCAAAAGTTGCTCTTGAAATTCATAATCTCCGTGAAGAAAATCCCGAGAAATTTTACAACCAGGTACTTAATTTTACTGTGTTTCCAGTTTTGCATTTTTTTTTCTCCCATCAGGCACATCTTATGATAATACATAATAAAAACTTTTATGGAAAGTATTCTGAGGTAGTTTTCAGTTACCTGATGTTGCAGTAAAAGTTGATGCCTGGAATTAATTTGGCTCGTATTGCAATAGTGAATTGGTCTGCCATATGATTAAGAGATCAAATTTTGCCCAGTCTTCAAGAGTGTTGGCCACGTTTAATTTATTTTTGGAAGATTTACACGCATACTACTGATTGACACTGTTTTGGGGCTCTTAGAAGGTGTTCATAAAAAGGATATAGCGAGGAGGTGGTTGTGAAATAGCAAGAGAATGATAATATGTAAGGTCGACGACATTTGGAAGAGGATAGGAGTTGTTTAATGGCTGTCTGGACTGAAAACAACAAAGAGAGCCTTGAAACGGCGAGGCATGGCGATGTGATTCACCACCTATTTTTGAACAAGCTATAGACACTTCATTTGTATAAAGAAGATGATACAAACACTCCTTAGGATAGAAATCAAGGATTATAATCTCCAAAATATATAATACAAAACTATAAGTCTACTAAAACAAAAAATAACAACATATAAATAGTTCACAAGCAAAAGAAACCTAATCCTAATTAAAATAATATTAAAAAAAGGAGGCCACAAGGGATTGACGACAGCACAGGCGGGGAAAGTTCCGCTGCAGCGCCATTTCAGCTTGCGGGATCGTAGGATCTCGTGGTTCTGTGGGATTCTGCAATCCTGGATCGCGGAAATATTGTGGGATGCTCCTTCGTCACTTATTTCCTTTGTATTTACGTATCTAACACATAAAGTCAATCTTTACATACATACCACCTTACTTGTGCATGAAAAGATGTATTTAACTTTTTAAGCGTTAAAATGATGGTATTTTTTTGTGATAAGATTTGGGTGGTATAAATGTTCAAGATAAAATTTAGTTGTTAGATTTGTAATAAATAGAAATGAAGTGTTATGTATGTAAATGCCCCTTTAATTACTACATGGCAATTTGCACAGTTTCACAGCTACATAATTTTCCAAGAATTTATGTTTATGATGGTGACTTTTTGTATAGTCAATATCTTTTAAAGGTAAGAATATGAAGTTGTGTCTATTTTAGTCTAAAAATTTTTAAGTGTTTAATTTAGTTTCTCAACTCACTAAATCTAAACCAATTTAGTTCTGCACTTGCTGTCAACTTTTTCATTTCTTTGTATAGAAATTGCTGGAGGGAAGCTATTCATGGGACATCTCGAACTTTTAAGTTCAATCTCATTGGCTTGAGCTTGTTTTAAGTAGTGAAATTAGCCTTAAAAAGTTGTAAATGCCTTCATAAAAAGTTTTTCACCATTAATTTTCAGTTAAATAAAAATTCGATGATCTGAGGGACCAAATTTAACACCTAAAAACGTTTGGGACTAAATAATGCACCATAAAAACTCCATTTTGATCATTTACTGACAAAGTAGACCTAAAAACATTTGGGACTAAATTATACACCCCTAAAAACTTTAGGTTGCATTTTGATCATTTACAAGAAGGTTGGTGCAAGCTGATAATGCTAGTCAAAATGACTTGAAAATTAGGTTTAGATTAGAATGAACCGGTGTTCCTCTCTAATTAAACATGCTAGAAATTTTATTTTCTGCTCTTCTAGTTAAGAAATACATTTGGAATGATGGATGCGTAGTAACAAATCACTAATAGCTTGAAAATGGTTTTTTTTTTTTTTAATCAAGATAAAGAGAAATCTCGGCTTTATTTTTAGCAATAACACTGCTTGATATAATAAATGTACATCAGGGAGAAAAGGGAATGCTTTTACATGGGGAAGCTTTGAATTAATATTATGACCTAAGTGGAAAAGGGCCGGAATTAGCAATGTTTACGAAATATTCACAAAGATTTAATTAAACCAATAATGTCACAAAATCATTGGTAACAGAGGTTCGAAATGAAGATCCAATTAATTTTGAAGCATATTTTTAATTTTTTTGGTATCGTTATTAAATTGAGGGAGCTTGGCTCGTCTGTTGGTGTTTCTTTGTTGGAAGTTGCTTTCATCCATATTTATGCTAGCCTCTTAGAACATTTCACTCATTGAAAGCAATGTAAGCTTGGCTCCCAAGGGTTCCATTAAGATCTGATTTATTCTCTTATTACAATTATATGTTTTACTCTTCTATCACATCCTTTTAACATATTACACTTTATGAACTAAGTTGTGCTTATTTTCTAGAACTCAAATATTGATCGGATTCATGCAGTTTTTGAACAAGGTGCTCTATGCACGAGAAGGTGCTAAATTTATCATGGACAGGACATTTGCTGATTTTCCATGGCAAATCAGACTAGAGGTTGATGGCACTGAAGTAGAAGTTCCCGAGGTCTGTTCCAACCTTATTTTCAATGTATATGTGTGTGTGTATGCTTGTTTCTTGACTCTTCACATCCATGGTCCTGAGACACAATGAATTGAAAATAAATGTTTAAAGTGCCAAAATGATCCCCTACTTATTACATTTAGCCATTTTAGTCCCAAAGTTTGTAAAAGTTCTGTATCCTCAAACTCTTGTAATGGGAGCTAAAATAGTTCTCATTGGGCGGTATTTTAACCCATATTAAAAGAGTTTGTGGATTTAATTGGCACTTCTATAAACTGAGGAATTAAAAGGACCCCCTTGCGAAGAGTTGGGGGATCATCAAGGGGGTCCTTTTGTCACTTTTCTCGAAATTAAATTAACACGTGCTAAAACGATACTAGTTAAAGTTGCAAGCACCATATTCGCTTTCACTTTCTTAAAAATTCCTTGATTTTTATGCTAGAATTTGTTTTTATATACAGTTGTTTGCATGTCCAAAATAGCAATCTATACTTTTAATTTTTTTAGCATGTGGAATGACTGTGTCTATATTATGCTTTAAGAGACTAAATTAAGTTATCTTTAACGTTATTAATGTCTGGGCTAGTTTTATATTAGAACAAATTTTCAAGTGTCATCGATAGCTGACTTTATGCACTTTTGTAAGGGTTATTTGTTTGGTTGGAAGTGTTTAAACCAGAGTTCTGGAGTTGAGTTCCATTGAATTATGTTTTAAGTTATTTTAGTTTGTGTTGCAATAATCCATTCCTTTAAAAAACCTAGTTTTTATTGTTTGGGTTGCATTTATAGACACCAGTTTATCAATTTGATATTAGTTTATTCTTACGATAAGTAAAAGCAATATTCTAACACATCATTCCTTAAATATTCTTTTATTTATAATTAATACTGTGCAAAAACCAAAATTTATATGATTTCAGATCCCTCTTGAATGAAACTCACTTCTCACTTTATGAAAACCAGTTTCCAAAATAACAATATAAACTCAGTTTGTGAAGTAAATTATAATCACTTACACCCACTTAAAGAAAATAACTACCCCTTTTTGTAAAAGATTTTTCATTGAAGATTACAAGCCAATTAATGTGGTCTATGGTAGGCCCATGAAATGTCATTTCGCTTCCTTTTTTATACTCAACGTTGAAAGAAGTATAGAAACAAATTTATATCCGAGATTCTCTACTACTCAATTCTATATCAATCAAAAACTAGGAAGTTGAGAACTCTTTTTGAGAGATCTTAACAATGAGCGGAGAATTGTCTTCTCTAAAAATGATGCTAGGTGAGGAGGTGGAAAGATCAGAAGGTGGGTTTCGAATTTTTATTAGCTTGAATGAACCCACTGTCGAGGTTAGGCTAGAGTTTATAAGCCCCTAGTTGTATTTGGACTTATAGGTTAATTCAACAATGAGAAGGTGGCTATAGGAGTCCTGTGAGATAAGATCGGAAGGTGAAATTCAAATATATATTTTTTAATCCTGAAGAAACTTGGTTAAGGACTAACGAGATTCCAATGAGTCATATAATTTGAGTTATATAAATGATCCAAATTTGAATTTTCTTAGGAAGGCTCGGTACTTCTGTTGATTTAATATGCGAAACTTGAACATAGTTCATTCAAAGGTTTCTATGTTCCCTAATTGTTCTGTAGGATGCTGAAGGTGTTCTTCTTGCCAATATTGGTAGCTATATGGGAGGCGTTGATCTGTGGCAAAATGAAGATGAGCATTATGACAACTTTGATCCACAATCGATGCACGACAAGATCCTCGAAGTTGTTAGCATCAGCGGAACATGGCATCTTGGAACGCTTCAGGTAATCATTCTAAAGTTCTTCAGTGAGATTTTTTTTAGGCATTTACATACATACTTCCTAATTTCTTATGTACTTACATATCTAACACAATAAAAATTTACTTTTTATATTTATACCACCCAAATCCCTTCCATCACATCAAAAATACCATCATTTTAACTTTCAAAAAGTGAAACATACCTTTTCATAAGTAGGAAAGGTGGCATGCATGTAAAGATTGAAGTTTATGTATGTAAATGTTAACATTGAACTATTTTTATTCAAGATTAATATTTAAAATTACTTGTGATTTTTGATTTGTGGATTGGATAATTTGGTTTGACATGATGATTTTCTTTTATTCAAGGTTGGACTTTCTCGAGCAAGAAGGCTGGCTCAAGGACAATCTATAAAGATTCATGTCTTTGCGCCCCTTCCAATTCAAGTAGATGGCGAACCTTGGGTTCAACAACCTTGCACACTAAACATATCACATCATGGTCAGGTGAGCCTCAGATCATGCAAGCTTTTGCTTAATCGTCTATATAGCAATAAAATTTGCATATTATATCGGTAAAATGCATGCGTACAAACCATTTAAGAAAAACTATTTATGGATGATACTCGTTTAAATTCTAAAATATAGTACATATTTGATAAGAAAATGGTCATAAATGGTTTCATGTCTATTTGTAAGGGCCATAGTCCCATCAAAGTGTCCAATTCATTCCATTTACTCTTCAAATATGATCTAAGGGTGGTTCCACATTTAGAGTCACTTTTTAATCTGAAAAAAAATTCACCTGAAATTCACAAGGAGGTCCGAAATGATGGCGTTTTTAATAAATAAAATTTTAATCTTCTTGATCTACAAATTTATGAACTTTGCATGAAATTTCTTTCAAATGAAACAACAGTATCGTCTTTAGAACTATTTTATATCTTATTTGAAATATAAAGGGATTATATTTAACACTTTAATTATTTTAGGACTAAAATGGACCCTTGTAGATAATTCAAGGAGCATATTGATTATTTTCATGTTTGATGATGATGCTTCCAGGTTTATAAAATAAAATTTCTTCAAATCTCAAATTGGCAGGTTGAGAATAAGTTTTTATTTAAATTATTATTATATATATATTAATTTTTTTTCCACTTAGATTAAGCTAATGAACTTTTTTTTTTCCAAATTTTCTACAATTATATGACTTGTTAATTAGTCCTTATGTTCTATTAAAAGATGTGGCCTCTTATCTTTGAAATAACTTCCCATATTTGTCTATTGTAGCTCCCTTACCATCACTAGCTTGGGATTAAGAATTTTAAATTAATTGTGTTATTGTTGTCATTATATAGGTAAAATGCTCATAATGACACTTGCATTGTTGGGCTGAGGGTCATTATATTTTAATAGAATACACCTATCACAAGACATCATCTTATTGTAGTATTTAAGGCATGTACATTTCTATATTATCTTTTAAACCTGTGAACAAGTAATTATCTTGCTCATGGGAGCCAAATATTGCAAGGTGTGAACTCTGTATTATTCAAAATATTTATGCATTCATTTATCATATTTTTTGCATATCTTTTTGTACATATACTTTAGAAAAATGGCAATTCATGATTTTGAAATAAGATGAATTTTATCTTTCTTTTAGGATCCGTTTTGAACAGCTTTTTGACTGTTTTATTTTTCAGACTGCTACCACAGCTCTATGTAGGGAACTGATTTTTTAATGCTTTCTAGAAATTTTTGTTGTAGAAAACTATTTTTTTCAATCTGATCTATTAAAGTGTGGTGGCTGTCAGAAAGTTGTTATTTGACTTTTCAAAATTAAAATAAAATTGTAATAATCATGCAGCTTTTATAATAACAACTTCTACTACAACAACTTCACAACTACTTCTTCAAACAACTGCAGCTGCCCCAAGTAACAAATATCATTTATTCAATCCTTTCTTAATGGCAAGGTTGCAATATTAGTAACACCAAATGTATATATAAAATGACATATCTGTCAATGCATCAAATTTATGAGAATGATTGTACTTATTAAAAGATAAAAATGCAATATTTGCTCTGCCCTTTTAATCCTTATATTCCACCTCCTTAAATTTAGTTCCTGTAATCATAAAATAATTTCTTGTAAGATATTTATATTGATTTATTTCATTTAGCAATACATTATCGCACACCTACAATTAAAATTGTTTTGTGATCGGAGTTCATTTACTTAAATTAGTTGCAATCAATTTTTAGGAAGATTTGCATATATACCACTCAATTCCCTATGTATTTGTATATCCAACAACTAAACTTTAATTTTTACATCTGTGTCATCTTACCTATGCATGAAAAAGCGCATTTTACTTTTAAAAATTTAAAATAGTGGTATTTTTGTTTGTGACATAAAAGATTTGAGTAGTGCAAGTGTTGTCTGGCAACGGATCATATTTAAGCTATTAGGATTTAGTAAATCCCATAAATTCAGATTTACTAAAGCCTGAATAGGTTAAATCCCGAAAATTGTCTGGCAACCGATTTGCTATATCCCGAAAATTTACACAGCGAGTGGATACGGATTTATCAAATATGCGGCTTTATTTTGTCCAAAATGACCATCTGGCAAGATTTACAGCTGAAATTCGGGGGCTAAATCCATTGCAGGACAGCACCTAAATGTATAAAGCAAAGTTTAGGTATTCGATACTTAAATACATAAGAATTGGGTGGTATATAAATCTCCCTAATTTTTATTGTATTGTTAATTTCAATTATATTATGGTTTTTGGTTGTTCTAAAAATTTTCTAGTGAATTTCTTTGATTATATGATCACAATGGCCCCTGTTAGATATGATTCTAAAATCTCGTAAGTGTATTATGAGTGTTATGACTTTACTATGACATAATAATTGTTTTATATCATCTGTATCAGGCGTTCATGCTGAAGAGAGCAGCTGAGGAGCCTCTGGGTCATGCTGCAGCTATAATCACAGATGTGCTTGAAAATGCAGAAACAAACCATGTCATCACCGCTTCACAGAAGAGAGCCCTTCTTCAGGAAATGGCACTTAGGCTTTCATAGTGCTCTCTTCTCTCTTCAACTTATATATCTATCTATCTTTCTAT